CCCTTATACAGAAGGAAGCTAGTTTGCAGATTCGTTTGAATCTCTTAAAGGTAAAGGGACCCCTGACCATTAGGTCCAGTCGTGACCGACTCTGGGGTTGCGGTGCTCATCTCGCTTTACTGGACAAGGGAGCCGGCGTACAGCTTCCAGGTCAGGTGGCCAGCATGACTAAGCCGCTTCTGGTGAACCAGAGCAGCGCACGGAATAGCCATTTACCTTCCCACCAGAGCGGTACCTATTTATCTACTTGCACTTTGACATGCACTCGAACTGCTAGGTTGGCAGGAGCAGGGGCCGAGCAACGGGAGCTCACCTTGTCGCGGGGATTTGAACCACTGACCTTTTGATTGGCAAGCCCTAGGCTCTGTGGTTTAACCCACAGCACCACCCGCGTCCCTCTTAGTTAAGATTATTTCCTGGTGTCCCCTTTTATCCCTCCTAAAAGAATAAAGACATGAGAATCTTTCTGAGTAAAGTAACAACAAGTTTACCCACATTTCAATTCTCGATATGATCCCTGAAAGGCAGGCTTTACTTGATAGTTACACAATAAACCGTGAGTTCATCTCATAGGGAGACTGAACTCATTTGCTGCTGGCTGAGAGCCGGCAGACAGCAAAATGACATTAAGAGTCCAAAATTACATTAAGAGTCCAGCTCTCAATAAGTGTGCATTATTGAATCTCTTTACTTAAGCAATCCAGTCTGGCTTGCCCAGATTGGATTCATTCCTGGTAAATTCCCTTTGATCCCTCTCAAAAGAATAAAGACACAACAGTCTTTCCTTAAAAGTAACAAGAAGTTTACTCACATTCAGTTCACAGTACGATCCCTGAAGGCAAACTTTGACTTGTAGTTACAGAGAAAGGTGTGGATTCATCCCATATGGGGATTTATGCCATGTTCAGCAGTGAGGGCCAGCAGTGCAGTCCAAGAGAAGCAAAAGAGTAAAGGAGGAAGATGGCTGTGTGACTGGACCTTTCGTTGGGTACCTTGTCACATGCAGGGGAAGGATGCTCTAGACCAGGTGTAATAGGAAGTTATACTGGCTGGAGTAACATCCCCCTGTCTGTGTTCACTCTAGGGAAACAAGGAATGTTGTATTTGACTGCTCCAATGGATTACATCCCACACTTCTGATGTTCTTACACTATATTAACAATAAAAGTTAATAATAATAGTAATAGAGAATGCAGAAAAATAACTGATAATACAGAAAAAAGGAAACAATGCAAACAAACATAACTAAAATCATGTTACAAAATTTTGATATAGGTCAATAAATGATATTGATCTATGTTGAACTGAACCTAATCATTACAAAATGCAACAAAGATTGAGTTCTATGAATTTGTTTGCTCTCGTCTCTCTCTCTCTCTAATATGATATGCAAGTTTTCTTAGTATTCCTATATTCCAGATGTTTTCCAGCCAGTCTAGAATTGAGGGTGCCCAGCCTTTCTCTGACGCTTTAGAGATATTTATCTTTAGCAATAGAAATATTCATTGCTGTAAACAATTTCTAAACTATTTCCAGGCAAAAACTGAGCCGTATAGATATCTACATGGGAGGTACCAGCTTTGTGAAGGATGTTCTCTCTATTCCTCATATATTTCCCCAATGAATGGCTGTTTTGTCTATGTAATAAGAGTAAAATATATAAGCATGAATGTGTTACGGTGACCCCAACAGTGATATGTTTCCTTGAGCTTTATTACTCTGGTACATTTTGCTATAAAAACATCTCCCTGTTGCCTTTGCTTTCTAACCTTGACCGTGTTGAGTGTTTTGACCATGTACACTATGTCCCAAAGTTTTACGATCCTGTCCTCGACTGCTGGAGTTCTTCCCCCAATCCAGTATACACAAATAATAATCTGGACAGCCATTAGAAGAAGTACTATCATTTATTTATCCTCAGATGAAGCGAAGTCCTTTGTAGAAGAGAACAGTACAGTTGACGGGTCTAAGAGTAGTTTATAGTCTGTTGTTATTGACTTCTCACTAACCAAGGGAGCGAGGCAACATAACAGAACCTCTATAATACAGTGGTACCTCAGGTTACATACACTTCAGGTTACATACGCTTCAGGTTACAGACTCCGTTAACCCAAAAATAGTACCTCGAGTTAAGAACTTTGCTTCAGAATGAGAACAGAAATTGTGCTCCGGCGGCACAGCGGCAGCGGGAGTCCCTATTAGCTAAAGTGGTGCTTCAGGTTAAGAACAGTTTCAGGTTAAGAACAGACCTCCGGAACGAATTAAGTACTTAACCCGAGGTACCACAGTACTATGAAAAAATTAAAAGGAGAAACATTGTCATTTACTTTGTCGTTCCAGAAATGTAAAAGGAAGGCCCATCTCTCAAAAAGTGTGCATTCTTTTTTTAAAAATAAGATCTTATTAAAGCTTTTTCACAATACAATAAGACAAATGAAACCAATCTAAATAAAAACAGAGAGAGAAAGATAAAAGGAAATACAGCACTGTCTCTCAAAAGCAGCTCTTAACCCTTGTCTCTGGAATGCTCTTCAGTTCACACAAAACTTTTGTTTTCAGTTAATGTCTTTTCCTGATTGTAAAGCACAGTATTACAGATCGACTCTGAAATAAATGAAGCTTAAGATCAGGGCCCCTAATCCTGGAGGGGCCATGGAAGCGACTTTAGTCAATATTTCCTTTTTTAAAAATGGGTCTAGTCGATCCAATTTGAGTCGCTTGACTCAAATTGATTACTTTTTTTGTTGTATGTATTTTTCAACAATCCCAGCATTTGAGAGTCAACAGCAGATACCCTGCTTGCGAGATTCGCACTGGGTGCCAGGTTCAAGGCGCTGGCACAAATACAGTTCAGGATCCGGTTACTTGAGAGGCCACCTTCTCCTGCAGTCTGTAGCAGAGTCTCTCTCCTGCAAGTTACAGATCCCAGAAGCCCAATAAGTCAGAGCAGAGCTTTTAGTGTGGCTGCCCCTGTCTGTGGAATAGCGTGCCCTTCAAGATATAAACAAGGGCTTTGTACTTCCAAGAAGAAACTGAAGACATTTTGTTCGAACTGGTTTTCCCAGCTGGATAAATAGGTCTTTGCTATTGTTCTAGTTTTCCGTTAAATTGACCTGCCTTTTTCTTTTCTTTTCTAACAAAATCTACAGCTGTTTTGACTGGACATTGACTTGAGACAATTGTGTAAAGTGTGATTAATAATAAAATAATAATAGATGGCTTTGAGGTAAATTTCAATTCTATGATGAATATTGCAAAGAAGTGTTTTCTCCCCCCACTCCCTGTTCTGAATCTGGCACCAGCCAGTGTTATCGTTGGTCTTCTAACTAGCCCAGACCATCCCTATTTTCCAGGGACGTCCCTGATCTAGAGAAGCCAGCTTGGTTTCTGATTTGATCCCAAAATGTCCTGCTTTTCCTAAGGACGTCCCTATTTTCATTTGCGAAATGTTGGAGGGTATGGAATTATGCGACCCTGAGCCGTCTGAAGGCAGCCCTGTATAGGGAAGTGGGATTTTAAAAATGTTTAATTTTTATTATGTGTTTATATATATTGGAAGCTGCCCAGAGTGGCTGGGGCAACCCCAGTGTGGGGGGTATAAATAATAAAATAATTCTTATGGAATGGGACGTCCTTGTTTTCACCAGAGAAATGTTGGCGGTATGTTAGTCCTCTATCATAACTTAATCTAAGTTTTTGGGGCCTGAATGCCTGACAGGGAGTTCCTGGCCTGGCTGGGATGAAAAAAAAGAGCTCAACAACTTTGACCTGAACCCCCCGAAAGGGGGTAGATCACTGCCAGTTTTTAACTCTGTGAGTAGATCGCAGTCTCTTGGTGGGAGTTGGCCCTCCCTGCTTTAGAACAAGGGCAAGCAGCTGCTATGAGCTCAGCCAGCAGGGGGCGTATTTCTGCGCATCTCATCTGCCAACCAGTGACACATTAATTAGCCAAATGGAGATTTGCCAGCTGTGGCGTGAAGCTTCGTTATTTACGCACCAGCTGTGCCCAAACAGCATCGAGAGATCTGACTTTGCCCAACACAGAGATCTAGTTCATATCGACCTAGGTTTGGCACCGGCTCACGGCGAACAATTTTATGTGGCTTCCAGGTGGTGGAGATGGGTGAGGGCTTGCAAATGACGGCTTGGGAACGCCGACTTTCTTATTGCCTTGGCTCTGGAGGGGCCGAATCCTCTTTAACAGGTTAATTAGAGCAGTTCCCTTTGGGTTTCATTTCTGGCATATAACATTTTTTTTAAAAAAACCCCCAACAACAACAGAAAAACTGCCCTTGAAATGAGAACAGGAAAAATAGGTTAGGAAGGTTAGAGAGGTGTATGGTCTCTGTTTATCGGGGAACTCATTCTGATTTGCTTTGCAAGAACCTTACACGGGGTTAGATTATATCTGGTCTTCATTGAACATTCATCCCAATGTACACTTCTTCCCATTAATGATTCGCTCGCCCTGCAATTTTCAACATATTTCCCCTTCACTCTCCAAATTGCAGAACGTCTGTTATTATTATTATTATTATTATTATTATTATTGATTTGTTCTGCTCAGGCAGGGATCAGAGCATTTTTTATCACCCCAAAGGCAGCACCAGTAGTGGATGAAACCTTGTGCTGTAGGCTGCAGTCTAGCCATGCAAAAGCCAGACGTTTCCTTCTGCGCATCTCTCCTTCCACACATAATTGCAATTCAAGACTGTGTTTCCCCCCAGGCAAAGGAACTGGAAGAAGGCATGGAGCAGAGTCAAGAAGGAGTCTATTCCGGGGAGACTCCCGAGGGCCAGAGACAAAAGCCTGAAGGGCCACATTCAGCCCCTAGTTCTGACGTTCCTTACCCCTGAGCTCAGAGCACTGGCCTAGTGCAAGAGGCAGCGCTCCACTCACTCCACCACTTCTGCCGATTCTCTGAGAGAATCCTAGAATCCTAGAATTGTTGGAAGGGATCCTGAGGATCATCTCATCCAACCCCCTGCAATGCAGGAATTTGTCCCGTACGGGGATCGAACCTGTAGCCTTGGCGTTATCAGCACAGTGCTCTAACCGACTGAGAGAGAGGCATTGTGGCGTGCTGTGCTGCTGCTTGTCTTCTGGTGGGGTAGGGTTAGGGTTAGGGCAGGAGCTGGCAATTCCCACCTCGCCTCATGTGGCAAAGGGGGTGAGAATCCTTTAATCTCTGAATCTTCCGCTCTGGAGAAAGCAGCAAAGGATTGCCCCCCTCTTTCCACAGGAGGACGGTTGTGGAAACTTGGGGGTGTGTGTGTCAATTTTGGCCCCAGTTTAACTTCTGCATGCAGAGTCACAACACCTCCCTGCCAACTCAAAGAGCTATTGTTTATCCTACCACTGAATTCTAAGGCATGGCCGTTCCCATTGTGGTGTAGTGGTTAAGAGTGGTAGACTCGTAATCTGGGGAACCGGGTTCGCGTCTCCGCTCCTCCACAAGCAGCTGCTGGGTGACCTTGGGCTAGTCACACTTCTCTGAAGTCTCTCAGCCTCACTCACCTCACAGAGTGTTTGTTGTGGGGGAGGAAGGGAAAAGAAGATTGTTAGCCGCTTTGAGACTCCTTAGGGTAGTGATAAAGCGGGATATCAAATCCAAATCCAAACTCTTCTTCCCACCCTTTGACTCCACTAGCAATAAAGAGAATTGCGCAAACCTCTCTTTCCGAATCTCTGCACTGTCTTCTGTGACGGGGACATTGCAGGGGGTCAGGCTGGATGACCCCTGGGTTTCCTTCCGCCCCTACAATCCTACGATTCTATGACTTGTGGGTGCTTTCGATTAGCACTGGCCAGGCTGCGGAAGATTAGCTCTCACAGGCGACCTGTTTCTTTCATAAGCCATCTTATGTAACCTGCTTAACGGGATGTGATTTGCCCATAAGGTGCACTGGTGCTGCCTATGCCTCGAAGCTGCTTTGCTTCTGGTGATTTGCTTGCATCCTAGGCAGAGCTGTAGCTCAGCTTTCTTGTGCAAAGAAGGTCCCGGGTTTGATCCCTGGCATCTCCAGGCAGGGCTGGGAGATGCTCCCTGCCTGAAGCTCTGGAGAGCTGCTGCCAGTCCGAGAAGGCAATACTGAGCTAGATGGACCCAATGGTGAATGCCTAGGGGGATGACCATGTATGGACTTAATAATAATAATAATAATAATGATGATGATAATAATAATGATAATAATAATAATAATAATATCTTATTTATACCCTGCCCATCTGGCTGGGTTTCCCCAGCCACTCTGGGCGGCTTCCAACAGAATATTAAAATACAATAGTCTGTCAAACATTAAAAGCTTCCCTAAAGAGGGCTGCCTTCAGATGTCTTCTAAAGCAGTGTTTCCCAACCTTGGGCCTCCAGCTGTTTTCGAACTACAATTCCCATCATCCCTGACCACTGGTCTTGCTAGCTGAGGATTATGGGAGTTGTAGTCCAAAAACAGCTGGAGGCCCAAGGTTGGGAAATGCTGTTCTAAAGGTCTGGTAGTTGTTTTTCTCTTTGACATCTGGTGGGAGGGCATTCCACAGGGCGGGTGCCACTACCGAGAAGGCCCATGCACATCCCTGTGGGTTTCATAATGGAAGAAAGGCAGGATACAAGAAAATAATTTTTAAAATGTGTATGTGTGTAGGGAGTTGAGCACAGCTGTTCGTTACAACTTATCGATTATTATTTATTTCAACTGCTTGTATTAGAGAGGCTGGTCCATTGGGACTGTCTGTCTTCTTCCTTGCATCCAGCCCAGAGGGCGGCCCTGATTGCCAGCCTCCTCCTCCTCCTTAGAGCTTATTGTTGCCCCTTGCAGAACTCAACAGAGAGGATAGGGGCCAAACTAGAACTGCCTCGGCCTCTAGGAGTTGGTGCCTACGTCTGACAGTAAGAGCTGTTTGGCAGTGGAATGGTCTCCCTTCCAAGGTTGTGGCCTCTCCTTCCTCGGAGGTTTTTAAGCAGACGTTGGATGGCCATCTGTCATGGATGCTTTAGCTGAGATTCCTGCATTGCAAGGGGGTTGGGCTAGATGACCCTGGGGTCCCTTCCAACTCTATGATTCTATGATTCTAACTTGGCTCTGGCGCCACCTACTGTTGGGCTCCCTCCCTCCCAACCTACCAGTCCCAATGGGCAGCAGCCACCACAGATTTGCATGCCACTTATTCCCCAAAGTTTGGCACAGCTGTCTGTCCTTTGCCTTCGAAGGCGACGCTTCTAAGCCACAGAGGGCATTGCTTCTTGTAACCGAGGATGCCTCCGCCACGATCTTGGCAGAATCTTTTCTGTAAATGTTACCCAGATGGTTTGTGCTGAGGTCATTCCGTTCTGCCAGGGATTTAAGAGGGCACGGACGGGGACACAAAGCTGCCTTGCGGAGCCCTGACACTGGGCAGCAGCAAATCTACTGCCGCTTTTGCCTTTGAGATATTAGTGTTTATTCCCTTCATTAAAGCTGCATTGCCTTTGAGGCAGCTTGATACTGCTGGTCTGGCTGCCGTGATGTTCCAGGGCTCTTAACATCCAGGATGCAGTTTTCACCCAGTATCCTTGGGGTTTGATGGATAGCTGTCACTTTAAGTCATAGGAGACGGCATCTGTTTGTTTGTACTTTGCAATTTACTGAAGACCATTATCTGCTGTCGGATGATGGCTCGGTTCTGGACAAAGGTCCAGTTAAATTCCCATTTAACTAAGATAACTCTTCACATTAATTCCCAGGCTTGGAGCACCTGCAGTGTTCCAAAGTTCTCCTTTCTTCTCTTGCAAACTTCCCCTGGCATCCGTCTGTCCCAAGAGACAATGGAGTGTGCCTCCAGGGGTGAAGTCAAGCCAATGAGCCCCATCTCACTTCCCTCTATAGCATGTGCAGAAACTGCCTTCTTGATCATTGAAGTCTCTATTGCTCTTGCCCACTCAATCTGATGTCGCTCTGTCAGCCGGGTACATTTCATAGCTGAGACACAAGGCAGCGGACCCTCAATGGGGATAAATTCAGCCGATTCTTGCTTCATATGGAAATGAGTTTTGAAGATGCCTTTATCTTATGAAGCAGCCTGCCACCCCCACTACAGAGCATCCTTCAAGGAAGAGGCCAGAGTGCATATTGCTGCACTTCACGCAGCCAAAATGAGCAGCAGGAATGGAAAAAGGGAATGTGTGATGCTTGGAAGGGGCACCAACTTAGCACTTAGAAGAAAAGAAATCTTGTTCAGCTCGCAGCTAGTAATTTAAAAGACTTTCATGAGAAAGCTGAAGGTCAAGATTTACATTTAAATGGGGTTTTGAAGTCAGGTCAGTCTACTTTCACGGAGTCGACTAATTTTCTCCCAGGAAATGGAACCACGCAAAGAGGGATGTGAGTTCTCATGGCGTCAGTGGGGCTGTCTTAGGCAGGTGTGGAAAACCCTTGGATCTCCAGATGTTGAGGCACAGAGCCCATCCCCTCTGTCCAACTCCCTGGCAAAAGCTGGGGGCCTGAAGCTTTAGGGGACAGCAGACATCAGAGCATTTTTCACATTCATAATGGGCCCCTCCAGATTTGTGTATCCCCCCCCTTCCCGTGGGTGTATTCTACAACAGTGTTGGTGTAATAATTGTGCATTAGTCATGGGTTTAAAATGGAACAACCCCATTGGGCTGAGGAGCCCAGTTATGTCACCCCCTGCCTGCAGAGTTGGCAGCCTCTCACCCTTTTTCGAACACCCTCCCTCCCTGAGTGTTCCCTCAGCCTCCTCTCCTCTCCCCTCTCTGCTTGGGAGTCCTCTGAGCAGCTGCTGCTGCCACCCCTGATCTCTGAGCTGCCCCCCACCCCAAAGAGAGGGGCCTCCCAGAGGCACCATTTGCCTGTGGATCTTATAGTCAGGGCTGCTGCAATAAACAGCTGTGCAAGCCTTTGAGAGGCAGAAATGTGAGAGGGCATCAGAGGAGGGAGGGAAGTAAAGAGGGATGGAGGCCTGTGTTGCCTGAGGCACCCCTGACCATCATTCAGGGTACCCCAGGGTGCCACCCACACTGCTTGAAAACCACTGTGTTAAAGGAATGAGTAGTAGAGGGAGGACAAAAAGAAAGAAAGAAAGAAAGAAAGAAAGAAAAAGAAAGTTTTACGGCACTTAAAAGAAAATAAATAAATAACTGGACACGCTATTTCCCAGAGGGGAGGGACCGCACCTCCTTAATCGAGAATTGCAGAGGCGTTTGGGGCAGGAAGTGGTCACAGCGGTTTCCTTCACGTGCAGAAGGATACAACATGTAGCTGCAGTTTAAGAAACACCCTTTGAAATATGTGTCTCCCCGGTTGTTCAGCCTCGGTGTGAGCGAGCCAGAGAGCGAGCAGCCCTCCTGAGGAATAAGAGCAGGTCACAGTGCCAGGAGCCAGAAGCAGCGGCCACCATGTTTCAGAGGAAGCGGAGTGTCTCCTTTGGAGGCTACGGATGGTGGGTCTGTCTTCATTTACTTTGCAGAGCTGAGGTTGCCGAGGGAGATCTTCCTGGCGTCTTTCTGACCCATTCGAGCCTGGATAGCTCAGTGGGTTAGAGCGTGGTGCTGATAACACCAAGGTTGCAGGTTCGATCCCTGTATGGGACAGCTGCATATTCCTGCATTGCAGGGGTTGGACTAGATGATCCTCAGGATCCCTTCCAAGCCTATAATTCTATGATTTGTTTAGAATTTCAGAAAGGGGCTCTTAAGCGCAACCTCAACAAAGTATGTTTTGACAAAGTGTTTAGTTTGTGTTGTCTGTACCAGACGTTTAGGTGCTGGTGGGTGGGGGTGGGGAATCTGTCTGCATTTCTGTTCACAAATATCCCCATTACGGAGAAGCTTTCAGACAGCACTTTATGCCATTTTCCTAATGTTTCTGTGCCCAACAATTTCAATGCTTTATCTTTCACATGGCACAGAAAACCAGTGGAATCTAGTGGGAGCATGGCGCTCATTTCCATGTTATTTGCTTCCAGACAAAATCTGTTTGCAACCTTGTTGATCCAGACAAATGTGGGAGTTTTGCATCGCCAATTTCCCCGGGATGAAATTTGTGCTGGTGTTCAAGCACACAGTTCTTTCCCGTCC